TGAAATTGGTGGAAGACAGGAGGGCATGGCGTCCATGGGGTCACGAAGAGTTAGACTTGACTGTGCGACTGAACAACAACAACAACAACAAGGCATATTTACTCAGAGAGTATGCTAATTATGCTAATATTGTAGTATTTCTTGGGAAATGCAGAAATACCTTTTCAGATGAAGCTGCTTTTGTTGTTATTGTTCAGTTGCACAGTCGAGTCTGACTCTTCGCGACCCCATGGACCAGATCACGCCAGGCCCTCCTGTCTTCCGCCGTCCTCTGAAGTTGGCTCAATTTCATGTTCATTGCATCAATGACACTGTCTAACTATCTCATCCTTTGCCGTCCTCCTCTTCTTTGACCTTCAGTCTTTCCCAGCATCAGGGTCTTCTCCAGTGGGTACTCCCTTCTCATTTGGTGGCCAAAGTATTTGAGCTTCAGTTTCATTATCTGGCCTTCCAGGGAACAGTCAGGGTTAATTTCTTTTAGGATTGACTGATTTGATCTTCTTGCAGTCCAAGGGACTCTCAAGAGTCTTCTCCAGCACCATAGTTCAAAAGAATCTATTCTTCGGTGCTCCACCTTCCTTATAGTCCAACTCTCGCAGCCATACATGACTACTGGGAATACCATTGCTTTGACCATGCGGACTTTTGTGGGCAGGGTGATGTCTTTACTTTTTATCATGCTGTTTAGGTTCGCCATCGCTTTCCTCCCAAGGAGCAGGCGTCTTTTAATTTCATGGCTGCTGTCACTGTCTGCGGTGATCTGGGATCCCAAGAACGTGAAGTCTGTTTAACAGTGCGTGGCTTCACAACTGCTTTCTGAACAGCTTCTGAATTCAACCTGCTAAGAAAGGTACAGAAGTTCGGGCCTAGCCGCTGTCCTACTCCCCTTGACCATGTCCTTGTTGCTTCTTAACACAGACTATTCTTCGCTACCTCCCTTGTTCTCTTCGTACTCACCCAGGAAAGTCGTTTTCTTTTTCTTTGACTCTTCTTTGCCTGTGCCGTGCTCGGCCTCCAGCTCCTCTTGCTGGATCCGAGCCTGCTCCAGGATCCTCCGGGAGAGCTTTTCATCCACGTACTCATCCTCTTCTTCTTCGCCGCCACGCCTCCCCGCTTTACCCCTTGTTTTCACGCGCGTAATGGGCTTCACTGACTCTCCCTGGATAATCTGCTCGGCCAGGGAAACATTCCCCCCCGCCCCGCTGGAGCCCCTCGGCCGCTTAACTTTCGGCATGATCCCCTCCGAAAAAAGAACCACGCGTGGAGAAAGACAGCCACAAAAGCGCATGCGCGACGTGCAACCTCTGCGACCTCTGCACTCCAAAGGCTCCTCCCTCCGCGCGCACACAGCGCTTTCTTCTTAAAGGCGCAGGTACCTTTTTACCTCCCCCGCTCCTCATGAATGATTTGAATATTTAGATACTAAGGTATTTCTATCCAGATAGCGGTGGCTGCGGTTAAATTACAACAATGATGATAAATTGTCCAGGTGAAACTTCTAATAGCCGGGCTATCAAACAACAAGTGACATTTCGTAAAAGAGATGTCTGCTTTAGTTTGTAGCTTGACGAGGGGAAAAAGGCAAAACGTGTGTTGTAACATCTTAAAAGGTAAAGGTTCCCTTGCTCGAAAGCCAGTCGAATTCGACTCTAGGGTTGCGGTGCTCATCTCCGTTTCAAAGCCGAAGAGCCAGCGCTGTCCGAAGACGTTTCCCTGGTCATGTGGCCGGCATGACTAAACGCCAAGGTGCACGGAACGCTGTTACCTTCCCACTGAAGTGGTACCTATTTATCTACTTGCAATTTCTTGCTTTCGAACTGCTAGGTTGGCAGGAGTGTAACATCTTAGAGACCAGGTAATTTGTAGTGCAGTCTCAACAGAGGTATGCTTATTGATTTTAATAGATTTGGGTTTAACTCTGTTTTAGGATTTCACTGTTCTTGTTGTAACCAAAAAACCTACTTCAGTGGATGAGTGACTGAAAACAGGGCCTAGAATTGAAGTACCAAATTATCATAAGTGTTATATTTAGTGGAGGGATGGTGGCTCAGTGGTAGAGCATCTGCTTGGCATGCAGAAAGTCCCAGGTTCAATCAATCCCCAGCATCACCAGTTAGTAGGTGATGTGAAAGACCCTGGAGAGCTGTAGTCAGTCTGAGTAGACAATACTGATCTTGATGGACCAAGGGTCTGATTCAGTATAAGGCAGCCTCATGTGTTCATATTAATGAGAATAACAGTCATAAATGTTATTACTGAATGACAATGATTTTAACAATTATTAGTGGTAGTGTCTCTTCTTAGCTCACACATCTGATGAAGTATGCTGATCTCTAAAGTGCTACTGGATTCAAATCTAGTTTCAGGAGGGTAGCTGTGTTGTTGGGTAGCAGAAGAGCTAGATTCGAATCCAGTATAGAGGAGGAAAAAATCAGGGGGGGGGGATTTCCATCCCCCAGGCCTTTATTTCAGGGTTTTTTCAGTAGAAAAATTGGAAATTAGGGGGAGTATTGAAAAAACTCCTATGAAATATTTTTTCTCTTAGAATGAGTTAAATGTATTTAAAATTAAGGTGTTTGTCGTATAGACATAGACAGCTCTTAAATCCAAGATGCATTTTTGCACCTAGAAGAATACTAAGCTTCATCAGGCAAGCACACAGATCTTTCATTGCTTTTCAGCTACTGCATGCCTTCTGTTGTCCTTTTGACCTTTTCACCACTCCCTCAGACCAAGCGCACATATACTCACAGATAAGGCAATAAGCTATTTGTTACCCAATCTTGCTGGAAGGAAGAAAATCATGAGGTAGGGCTAAGGTTACCAGGTTCTACCTTGCTCCTGGCAGGGGGCTCCAGGCTGCTGCCCACGTCACAATGACATCACTTGGAAGTGACATCATCACATTGCTGACATCAGGGGGAGTGATGCTGTGGTTTGGGGGCAAAACTCTATGGTTTTTTGTCCTCAAAAGCATAGAGTCTGCCCAAAAACTAGAGCATCACCCCTGACTTTGGCAGTGCGATGACATCACTTCCTGGCGACATCATAATGACAGGGACATTGTGTGGCAACGTCCCTGTTCAGGGGTGGGGCTTCCCCAGCTGGCCAGTAGCTGATTGGACCCCACAGACTGGGGGATTCCCTGGCCGGACTGGAGTTCAGGCAACCCTAGGTAAGGCAGAATTTGCACCAAAGCCTCAGAGGAAAACTCTGAAAGTTCCACTGAGAACTGAGGTCTCTCTAACCAGACAGCAAAAATTAAAGTGCATGTGCTAAGATAGTATAGGTGCATCAGCTTGCAGTTTTCTCTTAAGTATTGTGTATATTTACAATTTTGCATATAGAAAACTAAAGCATTTATAACTTTTAAATTCCATGAATATGTCAAATGTTACAATTTTATCTGCTAAGTTATAAATTATGTGTTTTATGTTGTTAAAGCAGTGAAATTAGGTTTGATAGTACTATAAGTATTTGTCAGGTCTCACAAATTCAACGTAGTCACTCTTATAGAAAGGATAACTTTTATTGATAGACATGAGTCACTGAACAGCTTCTCTGTCCAGAATAACCAGGAACCCCGGGGAGGGGAAGCATAAAGCAAATTCAAAATACGCAGCCAATGATTATAATTCCCGCTCGAGCCAAAAGCCTCTTTTGCGCGGCTATTTTCCTGGGATACAAACGGCCAGGTTGTTTTTACTACAAAACAGTTCTCACAGTTTCATCTCATTAAAATGAAGCACAGCATACACCACTCCAACACCTGTGACCTTGGGATAGATAACATAGCAGTAAATAACTTCTTGCAAGCAGGCAGTGTCTAGGCATGCGCATGGATGCGGAAGCGCTGATCAGGGGGGGGGACATCAAGTGCAGTATAATTGACAGCATACAGAAAACATAATCAGAACCCAGTATATCATTTGGCAGCTTGCTGACAGTATTGCATATATTCCACTTTCCCCTGAAATTTCTGCTTTTTCTACACACACAAAAACAGGAAAAAATGTGTCATCGTCCCCGTCTTGAAAATTTCTGGAAACTCTACATCTCTAGTCCAGTAGTGTGTCAGAGACCAACATGATTTGCTGCATATAAGCTCTCCAGAGTCAAAGCTAACTTCATCAGATAAAAGTAGGATTGGAGATCACTGAGTCCATATATCCAAATCAGAAGATAATAAGGGTGCTGCAAAGATTGAGTCAGGATACAAAGTTCCAATGCAAAACATAATCAGTGTGATTAGACTCAGGCATATAGCTTCGTTGCTCTGAAGCAACAGAACAAAGTTTGAGTCCAGTGGCACTTTTAAGACCAACAAAGTTTAATTCTGGGTATAAGCTTTAGTGTACATGTACACTTCATCAGATACATTGAAAAAGTATTATACCCAGAATTGAACTTTGTTGGTCTTAAAGGTGCGACTGGACTCAAATTTTGTTCTTCAGTTTGATTAGAGTAGGGGAGAAATGCTTGGGACAGATAATTATTTCCTGTAGAGAGGTAAGAATCCTATGTTCCCATTCATCCCTGTGGGATTCATTATTCTGAATTTGTGAACGACCTCAAGTTATCTCCCCTTGAAGCCTCTCTGTTTGAGGACTGTGTGAAACTGGATGCTGTACTAGATGCAGCAGCAGACAGAGCTATTTGTGTGTTTTAATTTCTTCTTAAGGCTACAATCTTGTGCATGCCTTCCAGGATGTGAGCCTCCTTACTAAAACATGCATAGCAGTCACGGGATGTTTTGTTTTGTGCAGGATGCAGAGTGGGGGAAGGCCACACTAAGTCAACTCTGCTTTGCTTGTTCCCGGCCATGATCACAAAGTGTGCCTTGCACACGAAAGCTCATACCTTGAATAAACTGTTGGTCTTAAAGGTGCCACTGGACTCTAATTTTGTACTAGTGCTTCAGACCAGCTGCCCACCCAGGATCTACCTTCCTGCGCTGGAGATTGCTCTGCAGTTACTTGCTTAGGACACCAGGAGGCCGGCACTGGATAGGATCTTCCCCGTCCGCGTCTCTCTCAGTTACATCACTTCCTTCTTGCTTTCTTCTGTGATAGTACAGATCGTGGAAGGCGAGGCTGTGTGGTGCTTCAGCCTGGAGGCATTACCAAACCCCACCGATAACTCCCCGCATGCTTTCAGATTAAGGGCTGAGGGGAGGAGTTGTTAGAGATTTCCTTGCTCTTTTTGTAGAGACCCTCGTGGAGACTTTTGGAAACATGGGAGTCACTTGGTACGATAATTTGCTTTTGTGGCGTTAATAGCGATGTTTGTTGTTTGTACTGGGTGAAGATTCCTTTAGAAAATAATTTGTAGAGTGTATTGCTGGTTGATATCGGGTGGGATAAATTATACAAGCACTACTGGGCATGGGGTGGTGGTGGGCGGGAATGGGAGTAACTGAAGATGGCATTGTTTGCTTTAGTTATTTTAAATTCCGTCATCGCAAAAGGTAGGGGAGGCAACACGAGGCGTGGGAAAAGCCGCGCTAGGAGCAGGCCGTCTTGTTCAAAAAGGCAGGAGATCTGGCAGCGTGGTGGCGTGTGAGTCTTTGATAGCAAGCTGACTTCTCTACGGGTGTTTTTTTTCTGTATACGCAGCGCGTCTTTGGGGGGGGGCGGGGGACGTCGTGCTTTAGCGGGTGCAGCAGTCTGATCATGTTGTAGGGAGAAGGAGTGCTATGAAGGACAGCCTGTACCGGGTGTGACGCGGCGAGCCTGCGTTCTGTAAACTGATGTGGTGTGGGGGCACCGCTGCCGTAGGCTGCGCTGTCATTTGCTTGGAGTGTGCTCTCGGCTGCTTCAGCGGCTGCTACGGCATGAGCTCACCGATGCCCAGTAGCAGGGCGGGTGGGGGCGGAGATGCTGGTGCCCACCGTAGTTCCTGCCTTGAATTTATTCGTATTATCTATCGCTACACAGATGGATTCTTTGCACTTTGAAAGGGAATGAGGTACGGAAATGCGAGGGAGTTTTGTGCGTGGAGCACGGGGGTTTGGCAAAGGCTGTTGTGGAAGGGTCGTCTGTACTGCATCATATAACATTAAGAAGAGTGTAGGAAAATATGTGTGTTTAGTATCTATTACTGGCGTGTGTGTGTGTGTTAAGTGCTGTCAAGGAGTGTAGGAAAATGTGTGTGTTTAGTATCTATTACTGGCATGGGTGTGTGTTAAGTGCTGTCAAGTCGCTTCCCACTTATGACGACCCTATGAATAAATGACCTCTAAAATGTCCTATCATTAAAAGCCTTTCTCAGGTCTTGCAAACTGATGGCCGTGGCTTCCTTTATGGAGTCCTTTATGAAGACCCTGATGGGTCTTCTTTTCCTAGTGCTACTGTCTTCTCCAATGAGCCTTGTCTTTTCATTATGTGACCAAAGTAGGATAGCCTCAGTGTAGTCATTTTAGCATCAAGGAAGAATTCAAGCTTGCTTTGATGGTCCATGCCTGGTATCCATAAAACTATCCCCCAACACCACATTTCACATGAATCAACTTTCGTCCTGTCAGCTAGGTCCCTCATTGTCCATCCTATGCCCATACATAGTAATGGAGAATACTATAGTATGAATTATCTTGATCTTGGTCACCAGCAACAAATCCTTACAGTTTAAGATCTCTTCCTAGCTCTTTCATGGCTGCCCTTCCCAGTGTCAGTCCCCTGATTCCTTGGTTGCCAATTCCCTTTTGGTTGATAATTGAGCCAAAGAATATTTGTTTCTCCCAAATGCTTTGAGTGTGGTTTTCACTTCACTTTCTGAAATTGGTGGTTGTTTTTCAAAAGGTTCTTCTTGGAAGGAATCTGTCATTCTTTCATCTCTTCTGTATAGTTCTTCACTGTATTTTTCCCATCTTTTCTTTATTTTGTCCTGTTTAGTTCATGTATTTCCATGTTAATCTTTCAGCATGCGTAACCGTAGTTTAAATTTCCCCTTGATTTCTTGACTCTTGTGAAATAGAGCTCTTATTCTTCCTTTTTTGTTGTTCTCTTCTTTTTCTTTACAGTGGTTATTATTATAATAGTTCTCTTTGTCTCTACATACCAGTCACTGAAACACTGCATTTAGACTTCTGATTCTATTTGTCACTTTTTATTTTTGCGTGTCGTCTATTATCACTTTTTATTTTTGCTTCTCGTCTATCTTCAGCAATTTTAAGAGTTTCCTCAGTAATCCACCGTTGTTTCATTTCTTTTTGCTACAGGAATAGTCTGTGTGTATTCTTCCTTGATAATATCTCTGGTTTCAATCCATAGTTCTTCTGGTTCGTATTCACTTGAATCTGCAAATCTTTCCTTTGCATGATCTTTAAACTCGTCAGGAATGTTGTTTAGATTGTATTTTGGCAAGATGAATGTTTTGGTGTTTTTCTTCAGCTTTATTCTGATATTAGCAATTCATGGTCTGTACCACAATCAGCTCCAGGTCTTGTTTTAGCAGAGAGAATAGAGCTTTTCCATCGTCTGCTTCCAATTATGTAATCTATTTTGTTTCTGTAACGGCCATCATGTGATGCCCATGTACACATTTGTCTGTTTGGTTGCCTAAAACGTGTTCCAATGAACAGCTTGTTTTTGCAGAATTCTGAGTCACACTCCTGCTTCATTTTGTGCTCCTAGCCCAATTTTTCTGACAATAGTTGATTCTATTTTGGTTCCCACTTTTGTGTTACTATCATCTATGATTATCAGCTTATCTTGTTTAGGTATGTAATCAGTTTCTTCCTGGACACCTGCATAAAAGCTTTCAATTCCTTCCTTATCAGCATCTGTACCTGGGCCATAAACTTGAATGATGGTTATGTTGATAGGCTTTCTGTGAAGTCTGATATTATTTGGTCAGAGTTTGCATTATAGCCCCTGACCGTGTTACATCTTACTTCACCATTACAGCAATTCTGTTTCTTCTGTATTTGCCATTTCTTGAGTAAAATACTTCATAATTTTCTGACTGAAACTGTCCTAATCCCTTCCACTTTAGTTCACTGTGTCCCAGGATTGCAATGTTTAAAACATTCCATTTCTCATTTTACGATTTTGAGCTTACCTCGATTCATACTCCTTACATGCCGTGTTCCTATTATATGTGCCAAACAACTTTGGATTTTCGTTTTGCATCCATTTGCATCAACAACTGAATATCCTTTTTGCTTTAATCCCATTGTATCATTAAGAATAGCTCTACTTGTCCTCTGCTCTTCCCCTGTAACTGATTGTGTGCTATCTGACCCATGGGCCTGTCTTCCAGCACAATATCTTTTTTCATTTTGGATTGTCTTATTGTAGGATATTCAAGATATGAGATGATCAGAAGTAGTTTACCATTACCTTCTGTGCAGTACTAGCCAGAGTTGTCTGAAGTGTCACTGTCATTGTCTGTGATAGATCCTCCATCAATATCACCTTCCACTACTGTTACTCCCCAGTAGCTACCCTTCAAGGATTCCTTCTCCCTCATTGCCACTGGAACTGCCTGTTCTCTTCTGCTGATGTAGCAGTTGATTCCTGGACAGGGTGGATGCAGAGTTTAGACTTGACAGAGTCTACATTCCTCACAGTATTGCTCTTAGTTTCATTGACACACGCATACCCCCTAACCACGTTAAGGTGTGCATCCAAGAGGGCATATTGTGCACTGGCATATTGTGTAGTACTGGCATACTGTGCACCATTAGCCATATATTGTTGTGTTTCTCCATCAGTATGATATTACGAATGCCTCTAGTAGAAATCCTGGTTGCAATTGATAGACTGGATACATTTTGTAAAGGAGTTTCGTTTCATACCTTTTTGCTAGTGCAACAGCCACTACCTGACATATCTGAGAAAAGAATAAGATGATATCTAAAGCAAACAGATTTAGTATGGTCTGCTTTTTGGTGTGTCTTACTTTAATGCTTTGTGCAGCCTTGGTAACATGTACCTAAAATTAACTAGGCCACAAAAATGATTAGTGGCACATCTGCTTGAAAAATACCTATATTACTTATTTGTGGTGTATTAGCTGTCTGGAAAAAGAAAACTAAAGGTAAAGGTTCCCTTGCTCGAAACCAGTCAAATCTGACTCTAGGGTTGCGGTGCTCATCTCCGTTTCAAAGCCGAAGAGCGAGCGCTGTCCAAAGACGTTTCCGTGGTCATGTGGCCGGCATGACTAAACACCAAGGCGCACGGAACGCTGTTACCTTCCCACTGAAGTGGTACCTATTTATCTACTTGCAATTTCTTGCTTTTGAACTGCTAGGTTGGCAGGAGCTGGAACTAGAGACGGGAGCTCACTCCATCATGCGGCACACTCGGGTCTCAAACTGCTGAACTACTGACCTTCCACAGCCTGCAGTTCAGCATCTTAACCACTTGAGCCACCGCAGCTCCTCTGGAAAAAGAAACAAAGCCACTATTTCCGATTTCTACTCTATTTCTGTAGTCACTAGGAGTGTGTGTGTTTTTTAAACTAGCCATAGGTGATCAAGCAGATGGCTAATAAGCTTTCCTTTATAGAACAGCTTTAGCCATAAAGCATGAAGTTTTATATTTCCAGTAGAATTTACAGGATCAGAACTTTGTTTTAGGTAATGAAATGCATTAATTTCTCCATGTTGGTTTACTCTATATAAATACAGCTCTGTGTCTGATTTATTATTTAACTTCTTAGAAGTCACTTGGGACACATGATGGGCTATTTATCTCATGGTGCTGCACAGTGAAACGTCTCTTAGAGCAAGTCTTATATGTGTGTGTATAATTTGTCTTGCTAATTTACACAAGGCTTGCCTGCATGTGTTTAGGATGAGACCCTAAATTATTGTTCCTGGCTAACTTAAAGCCACCAAATTGTCACAGAGCATAACCCTTTATTTTTTTGGCGGCGGGTGGGGGGACGGAATCTTGATTCAGCATGATCAGGACTCGAAGCCACTTACAAGGAGATATGAATCCTGTGCATCTGCTCTCGGTTTCACCCTACCTTTCATTACATGGTACCTTTCTAATCACATTTCATGCACAAGCCAAAATCTGAAAGAACAACATTAAAGTCTTGATTTGAGTTGTTTTGAGAAAGGTTAAATGCTGTGAAATAAATAAATAGAATTTAAAATCAATGAAAGGGCATGAGGTAAATTTGTAGATTTTGTATGTAACTTTGGCCAAAAGTGAGATTCTCTCCCTGCCCCTCCCATCCAGTATTGCATCAGTGACTCCAGCTGCAAACAGGCAATGTTTGTTACTGCAGGTTCAGAAATTTTTTGCTCATCATCAACCTTAATACTTTCCATGTAGTACCTTAAGAGGAGGGGAGATGGCACAGTGGTAGGAGCACGTGCTTTGCAAACAAGCTCTCAGTTCAACCCTGACAACTCCAGTTAAAGGAAGGACCTTAAGTTCCCTATCCTGAAGAACCACTGCCAGAGTAGATGATGCTGAACTAGGTTAACCAGCGGGAGCTCTCAGTTTGATCCAGAGTGTTCAGCAAAGATGGACTTCAAAGTGAAGGCTTTCCCTCTGGGATCTTTGGCTCTCTTTCTCTCACACATCAGTCTAAAGCAGAAAAAAAAGTTGCCTGTGGGAAGGGAGTTTGCATTCTGAAGGCAGAAAGCTTCCAGTTTGGTGTAGTGGTTAGAAGCACAGGCTCTAATCTGGGAGAACCAGGTTTGATTCCCCACTCCTCCACTTACAGCTGTTGGTGTGACCTAGGGTCAGTTACAAGTTATTTCAGAGCTGTTCTCTCACGAGCAGTTCTGTAAAGAGCTCTCTCAGCCCCACATACCTCACAGGGTGTCTGTTGTGGTGAGGGGAAAGGAGGTTGTAAACTGCTCTAAGACTTCTTCGGGTAGTGAAGGCAGAGTATAAATCCAATCTCTTCTCTTCTTCCCATCTCTGGTGCCAGACACAGATGTTGGAAACACCACCTCCCCGTTTTAGTATGCAGAACCACATATATTCATGTTAAGTTTTCCCCTCACCTTTTCTCTGTTACCTTTGCCACTGTTGAAATATAATTTATTAGATCCTTGCAGCAAGGAAATTGCCTCTTTTGCTTATTGTGCTCTGTCAAGTATCAGTGTGCAGGGCAGTGCTATGTTAGCCATAACAATCATTGGAATGCACAGAAAGGATTCCATGCCTCGTGGCTGTCATTCTGCTTGTGAGTACATGGTTTTGGGGCCTTTGCTGTTACAGCCTTTTCTCTTGTGTTAGTGTTTCTCAGATGCCAGTAGCAGAGGGGAAGAGTGTGCAGCAGACTGTTGAAATCCTAACAAGAAAACTGGAACTACTTGGAGCAGAGAAACAGGGAACTTTTGGTGTGGACTGTGAAACCTACCACACTGCCCCCTCCACAATGGGCAACCAAGGTCAGCATTTCTAAAATAACTTGTATGTTCAGATGTTTAAGATGTATGTAGTAGTTGAAGATTGGCTGGTTGAGGCTCAGCATTAAGTGCATTTAAAGAAACAGCTGCATGTATTGCTGTTCCTGGAAAGGAAATCAGTATATAATGACAGTATTTTAACTGTTTAGCATGTAGTTCTAGTTATTTGACACATCTTCCGTCCTTCAGGGAGCACAGGGCAGCATACATAGTTCTGCAGTTTTATTATCAAAATAACCCTGTGAGGTAAGTTTGACTGAGGATCATCTAGGGTTAGGGTTCATAAGAAGCCAGTTTGGTGTAGTGGTTAAGAGAGGTGGACTGTAATTTGGAGAACTGGGTTTGATTCCCCACTTCTCCACATGCAGCCAGCTGGGTGACCTTGGGTCAGTCACAGCTCTTTCAGCCCCACCTACCTCACAAGGTGACTATTGTGGGGAGAGGAAAGGAAAGGACATTGCAAGCAGCTCTGAGACTCCAAGTGGGGGCTAGGGTATAAATCCAACTTTCCTCCTTCTCAGGCTAGCATGGAAGAAATGTCTGGAAATAGCAGCCTGTAGCCATAACTGTGGCTTGTTCGTTTTCTATTTATTTGTTGTGGCTTATATCCCACCCTACCCTGCAAGCGGGCTCAGGGTGGCTCACATCATATCACAATACAGCAGCAGTTTAAAAAACATTAAATAAGCATTGAGAAGTAAAATGTTAAATAAATACATTAATTAATTAATTAAATAATCTACACAATAATCTGGGTCCCCTAACTGACAGTTCAACAACTCTCCCCCCATGCCACACACCCCCAAGCAATATTGGTGGCTGTGAAAAAGGTTATTTTATGTGCTGTTCTTTTTCTGACCCAATGTGTGATCTTGGGTTAGTCTTTCTGTGAAATAAAACTGGAATAATGAGATTTACAAATGAGTTTAACTCCTTTAAAAACTGCATATTATCCTGATAAAACACAGCCCGTTTTTAAGTTTGAAACAGATTAATTTGTATGTCTTCTTCTTCCCTGTCTTTATCTTATGAAAATGGCAAAACTGTTCACCCTGATGTGGGGTAGGAGGCGTTAACAGTAGCAATGTGCCCTTTTGATGTTCTGGGCAGTCCTGTGAAGTTAGTAATCTACAGGGTTTTTTGTTAGGTGTCTGCCTGCCCACATGTACCTATATAAGCCTTTTGTAGCCTTAAAATGGAAAGAGGAGACAGAAAAACTCTCTTCTACACAGCTTCCTTGACAGATTGTGTGAAAGCAGTTACAATAGGCAAAATATTTAGAGGCTAGATATGGAATATAATCCTTTGTATGTCTATTTAGAAATCAGCCCCACTAATTTCAATGGGGTGCACTTCAAAGTACATGAGCATAGAAGTGCAGCATTAGGGTATCTGTGGCAATGCTCTTTGCTGCTCTAATGTGCTTCTTTAACACGGCATAAGTGTATGCACCCTTCCCAGAAGTGGAGCACCAGAAAGCAGGGCTGCAACATTTTAAAGATTTTCTTCACCTCACCTTTTCTCCAGAGAGCTCAGGGTCATGTATATGGCTCCCTACCCCCATTTTATCCTCACACCCACCTTATTAGGTAGGTTAGGCTGACAGAGAGCAACTAGCCCAAGGTCACTTGGAGAGCTTTGCGCTAGTGTGGGGATTTGAGTCCAGGTCTCCCAAATGCTAGTCCATCATCTGAACCCCTACACAAGTAGTCAGTTAATTGTGGACTCACGTGATTGAAAATGTTTGGATTAACTAGAAAGATATCATCAGTTACTGAGGAAACTAAAAAAAAAAAATTAAAATGATAGGAAGATTATGAGAGGCACTCTGCCCTTTCTCTTGTATAACGGGAATGCCTCTTCTGAGTCTGCATCTATATTTTTTATAACAGGGGTGCCAATCATGCAGCCTGCGGGCCAGAACCGGCCCCTGCAGGGCTGGTATCTGGCCCATGAGCAATGGCCTCTCTCCTGCTTCTTTCTCCCAGGCTGCTGCATTTCCAAGCCTGGCTTCCCTCCAGTGGCTTCTGAGGAGGAAGGTAGGGGGGAAGGAAAGAGACCCTATGTGCAGCAGATAAAAGCTTCCGCAGTCGCTCTCTCCTGCTTTGTTCTCCGGGGCTGCTGCTGTGGCTGAGATCTCCTTTTCCTCCTTTGGGGAGAAAGGGAGGGGGGAAGGAAAGAGAGAGAGCGCCTGTGTGCCCCAGAGAAAAGCTTCCCCAAATCGCTCTCTCCTGCTTCGTCCTCCAAGGCTGCTGCTATGTCTCCAAGCTTCTCTTCCCTGGATTGGCTGAGATTTCCTCCTCCTCCTCCAGAGAGGGAGGGAGGGGGAAGGAAAGAGAGAGAGAGAAAGTGCAAGAAATAGTCCTTTGGCACACTGAAGACCAACAAAGTATAAACTTTCCAGGTATAAACTTTCGTGTGCTTCCACACTTCTTCAGAGAGAGGGAGATTTTTCTGGCAAGCACTATTTACATTAAGATTACCTGGCTTTGCTTAAAAGGGGAAGGGGGGCAGGAAAGAGATGCATTTGGGATAAGGGGAATTAAAGGGAAATTATTTTAGCTTATTCTGAGAAGGGTTGTTTTATTAGAATGATCTGTGCCTATCTGGGATAAGTATTTAAAAATACATTTATGGTTCCATATATTCCAGTTCAACTTGTGGTCTCCCTCTCTCCCACCTTACTGGCTTCCTTTCTTCACATTAACCCTCCCCTTTGCTTTTTAACTGTTTCATTATCATCGTTAGCACTGAGTGGATTTTCAGTCTGAAATCCACACATTATTCCACTTGGAGAGATCCTCTTTTCCAGTTCTAACAGATGAAAAAAGAAAGAAAGAATAGAAACCTAACAGTATAGCTTGCAATCTTTATTAGTGGAAGGGAGCAAGACTCCAGTAGCGCCTTAATGAGTAACAACATTTGTGGCAGGGCATGAGCTTTCATGAGTCACATCACACTTCTTCAGATACCGCTAGAATGTGAGTCCATCTGTCCTGTTACCTTGGAGAGTGAATTGATTTCAGATGCCAAATGACAATAGCAGGCATTGGTAGGGTATGAGCTCTTGTAAGTCACTGCTCATATCTTCAGAGTTATGTGTTCTTTGCGTCCTCCTGGACTGAATCCTCCTGGAGCAAATTGAGACCTAGGTTTCCTGTCTCAATACCAGTACTGATATCTCTGTTCCTGCTACCCCTCTGCATATCGCACCTAATCCAATCAAACTTGCTATTGTCATTCAGCATCTGAAATCATTTTTATAAAGTTTATATCTCCAGTACCTCATGTTACATTTTATGGCACATATGGCTCCGCCCAACATAGTGACATTTATGTCAGATCCAGCTCTCATAACAAATGAGTTCGGCACCTCTGCACTATGCTTACTGAACTGTAACTGTTCTTATGATCGCACAGTAAATGTTTCAATAGATAGCATGTTCAAATTGAATAGAGTACTTTTAAGAGCTAAATACCTTTATGGCAAAGTGCACTTCATTCATAGCACACACTTCAAAAATACAAAAAGAAAGTGGTTAAAAAGTCACTTAGATGCAGAAGTGAGCCATACACTTGACACTCTAGTTCTGTGTGAGTGAATTGTAAGAAAGGCCATTGAATTAACTAGAATTTACTTCCAGGTAAGTATGTATGGCCCCACTGGTGGACCTCCTGATGGCACCTGGTATTTTTTTAGCCCAAGGTCACTTGGAGAACTTTGCGCTAGTGTGGGGATTTGAGTCCAGGTCTCCCAAATGCTAGTCCATCATCTGAAGCCCTACACAAGTAGTCAGTTAATTGTGGACTCACTTGATTGAAAATGTTTGGATTAACTAGAAAGATATCATCAGTTACTGAGGAAACTAAAAAAAAAAAATTAAAATGATAGGAAGATTATGAGAGGCACTCTGCCCTTTCTCTTGTATAACGGGAATGCCTCTTCTGAGTCTGCATCTATATTTTTTATAACAGGGGTGCCAATCATGCAGCCTGCGGGCCAGAACCGGCCCCTGCAGGGCTGGTATCTGGCCCATGAGCAATGGCCTCTCTCCTGCTTCTTTCTCCCAGGCTGCTGCATTTCCAAGCCTGGCTTCCCTCCAGTGGCTTCTGAGGAGGAAGGGAGGGGGGAAGGAAAGAGAGCCTATGTGCAGCAGATAAAAGCTTCCGCAATCGCTCTCTCCTGCTTTGTTCTCCGGGGCTGCTGCTGTGGCTGAGATCTCCTTTTCCTCCTTTGGGGAATCAGCTTCCATATGCAAAAGACCAGGTTGTCGCAGCAGTTGTGGTGTGGGCGGGACCCGGGCTTTGCCTAAGTACAAGCACACTGAATATTCAAAAAGAGCAAGCAATACAGAACTAAGAAAGCAGAGGTGATTGATAACAAATAGAGGGTTAGTTACAGGGTGATGCAACCTGTCCAGAAGTGCAGGAGTCCATGGAGATGAGATTATGGCCTAAACCCTGAAGGTTTAGGGGTGGACTGCCAGTTGGCATCAGGGCAGAGGGCACACACTCTGAGGCCATGTCTTTGCTGGAATATACGCATTGGAAAACAATGCAGACCAATGGGCAGCCCTAGGGGCTGGTCTCAGGTGAGAACAATAGATTACCTGGGCCAATCCTGGGTCCCAGGGGTGTATGACGTCAGGATGGACAAGGCCTAGATGTGACCAATGAGCTCTCAGAGGGGCAGAGTCTGTCTTTAACAATAGAAGCCAGGTGTTGGGTGACTGTACTGGGGCTATCCATTGTGAAACAATAGAGGGGTCTGGCGTTTCCCTGGTACCAGACAAAAGGAGTGATGTTTCTTAATGTGTGGCAGTATGAACCTGAATGGCTGACCATTCACTAGACATGGAGAGTTAATGTTTCCTTGATAAGTCTGGCATAGGTGTAAGAATTCAGATAGGTGAAACAGGAGAGAAGGATGGAAATATGCAACACACTTCATTCATGACAATAGCACAGACCAGAGGCTTTTT